CGCAACGTATTCTCTAATCGGGCCTGCGTTGTTGTGGGTACAAACGGGCAACGCATCGATGGACGTTAAACTGATCGTTCAAGGTACGGTGGGGGCCTTGCAAGCCATGGTGGTTGTGTTTACGCTGGCGCCAACTTTTTCCGGCTTGGCTACTGTCCAATTGAACGTGTATGACTGGATTGCTCTGGTGGCGTCATATATGGCGTCATATCTTCTTCCAATCCAAGTGCATCTGACCCGTGCTGTCATCCATGCGATTCTCGTCGATGGATCGACCGTCCAGCTACGTTCATCCGAGTCGACGGGTTGGCCAACGTTGTGGTTTCACCGTCTGCCTTTTCCCCGTCGGCATACACCAATTACGTGGCACCACCTTGTCGTCCTCAGTTTGGCCTCCGTGAGGTCACTGTCATTAAGAGCTACTGGGGTGCGGCCAAAGGGTAGCGCAGCACGTAAGTGGGCCCGTCTGCGTCTACACTGACCTTCTTCAAAGCGTGTCAGAATCGCATGCTGTTTCAAGCGACCGAGGACGCTGCAGGCGCGGAGCGGTTGCAAACAGACGGTCAAGTGACCCTCCGCCTCTCCGACTTGATCCCGGGGCCAAGGAGCGTGTCCGCCATCTATCTCTTGGTGCTGTCCAATGACTCGAAATTGCACTTCGCCGCCGACGGGTTAAATTTGTCCTGGCGACAGCCGGCATATATTAAATGCATGCGACACAGCTCGTTGAATGTCAATGACCCAAAGTGGGGACGGCGAGATTCTATCCCTACTACTAGTAGCAGTCCTAGTTTTAGTACGAGTCTGAATGCGGAACCGTTCACGTACAACAGTTTATGTATACTATGTGTCAATGCTACCATTGGGTGGGGGCGAGCCTCGTGATTGCTATCGCTTTGTCCGACTCAGCATTATTTCCTTTTATGTGTAAAATTCAAGGAACAATCTCATTCTTTGTAGACCATGGGAGTGCAAACATGCGGTCAAGCGCGACTCGTTTCGTGTGGACGGGGGAGTTTCACCCAAAAGCGTTCGTGTGGATCCTTTGCATCCAGGAACCTTCCTCCTATTTGACCACTCCATACGATCGCGAGCTGTGGTCGTACGACGGCGCCACCTTTTCTCGCGTGGCGGATATAAACCCCGGTCCGGCGGGATCACACCCTCCCTTTCTGACCGAGTTACGGGACTCGATAGTGTTCCAAGTGACCGAACACATCAGGGGGGCGGAGCTGTGGGTATAAAACTCGACCACACGGATTCCCTTGCCGTGGGCATTTACCAGCTTGTTATTGTAAAGTCGATGCGAAATTGGAGTGGGGTATGAACAGCACCAAATCGGCAGACAATTGATTGACCAATCAAAACCAAGAACACAATTCAAGTACTTCCTCCATTCCATAAATCTGGAGACATTGGATTTCGCCAAATTTTTATCTTATCTTTTGTATGCTCTCTGAGACGAAAAAGTGTAATTTTATTCACAAAATTGATTTCACGACGAGAAGAAACATGATGTGCTGCATCATATCGTCACATCATGGACAATTGTGCAGAGGTGATCAATATTTGACGTATTGATCACACCCTCAATGTCACATGATGCCAACACACTAGAAAGGTTATCTACTCTACGTTCGAAGTCCTTCAGAGCATTCATCGCTTCGATGACAGTGACTACATCAGGATCGCACACCGAAGGAGCGGTGGGTCCCAGTCTTGCCATCTTGTCCTTGCACTGATGCGGCAACTTGTACGAGTTGTCACCGCCCATCTTCATCGACTCCTCCATGACTCTCACTAGAGTCACGAAAGTCTTGTCCAGGATTCGCCAATCCAATTCGTTGAATGACCCATGTACGGCGGCAACCAGATCATCGATTCCAGTGACGACTTGACGGTGTTGTAGGGCTTGGATTGAGTTGAAGAACCCTAGATCCAGAACGTTGAAGTCAGGGCTCATTGCTGGTTGTGCCACAAGTTGAATCGCCCAACCATCCGACCGCCCGGCAGCAACCACGGCAGGGTCGTCGACTTCGACGTGAGGTCGTGCATTGTATTGCTGAATGTAGATGGGTTGGTCACGAGGCCCCGGCCAAACCGCCTTGATGCGTGGCGTGTTGCAGAAGGTATTCACAGTATACCTTCTTCGTGACAGTCACCGGTGTTGCGACCAAAGTCCCGCGATCTCGATTCTTGCTCGTGCGTTGAGCTGGCTGTACGGCCACCAACGGCCACATGCCGAGTTTGCCATCCCACATTGTCTTTCGCACGTAATCGAACCGTGGACGCGCCACAGCGGTCAAGAACATCTCCTTGACGATGTGTAATTTTGAGGAGCACTTGCGGACAGGTACGGCTTCGTCGTACCAGAGATAGTATCGGCGGTTGACCAACGTGAGATAGAACCACTTCTCGTCAATATGGATGCGATAGTGCATGTCGTGCCAGCGCATCGGAGCTCGTGGTGACTCGCGAACAAAGGAACGGACGAAAGCTACGCGATCTTCCTTGTGCTTTTCCGTGACCATGGGTTTCGGTCGGCTTGTCCGACGCACTAACTTCTTCGACTGGAGCACGCGCCAAAGAGTCGTCGGGGGTATGCCACTGGAAGCCGTCAACAACGCAATGATTCTGCGCAGATGCGGTGGGGCATTCTTTACGGCGGACTCGATTTGTGCGATGGTACGCGATGGCCGACGTCCCGCTCGACCCTTCCTCTTCAATACCACGTCGGCAAGTCCTGACTGGGCCTTGGAGAGTTGACCGCGGGTCCAGATCTTCGACAACGTATGCCTTGATATGCCATACTTGCGGAGGATCTCCTTGGCCTTGCCTCTGGCCAGACGGCCGTTCTGCTTGTGCTCCAGCAGTTCGTGGTACAGACTGAGTTGTTCGTCGTCGGGCAAGTCATGCTTGGTCGTGGAGCGCGGCATCGGAGTTTGTCGGTAACTTGCCCCACAGAAATTTCTATAAATAGAACTCCCATCAGTGAAATCGCGCCAAGAGCATAGCCATAAAGACAAATAAACAATCAATTTAACAGACTTAACAAGGCGAAGCGGTGCTTAGAATTGTTGTAGTTAGCACGAATTGAGTCACTGCTGTCCATTCAAGGTACCTTTTTACATTTCAAACCGATGCTTTTACCGTATTATATGATGCTTTTACCGTTTTGTACAATGCTTTTACCGTTATATACGATGCTTTTACCGTTTTATATACGGCGTTTACCTCCCACTTCTTACTAAGTATCATTTTGCCTACGATTGAACCCTTTAACCTGATATTGTCGGATGTTAGACAATCCATTGTTCCCATGGCGCCATTCCCATGGCGCCAAAAAGTAGTCGTACTTCGGGGTTTCGGGGCGTTCTGAGGTGTGCTAGCTATATCTACGCAACGTGACGAGTCGTTTGCGCTTGATTTGAACACGATTGGATCACAAATGAATGAGTTACGGGTGTTTATAAATTGGCTGTCCTGAGCGTGGGCGTTTGATTCTTGGTTGTGAAGCGCCGAGAAACGATAAAAAAAATCTGAAAATACCTGTGTAACGTAAACGGCCAATTCTTGCCCTCGGACCAATTCTTGCCCTCTTTCAGTTTTCAATGCAATATTTTAATTATACCCAATCAAGTACCTACCCGGCACTGAATCAGCCGTGATTGGCTGAAGTACTTTTCGGCAC